GGGTTTAGGGATTCAGGGCTTTAGGGTTTAGAGCTTGGGGTTTTTGGGGTTTAGGACGGTTTAGGGGCTTAGGGTCAAGGCTTACTTGAAGGATTGTGGCACTAGGTAACTGGAACGGTTCCTAAAGAGGCTTCCTTAAAATTAAAGGATCCCGTAAGGCGTTCTATGCATGCCCCATTGGGAACTACGCGGATGGGTTCCTGCTGCCTTAGGACTCCGGGGTTTAGGGTTTGGGGCCGTGTAAATTCGGGTTTAGGTTTAGGGTTTAGGGTGTAGGTTCGGGTTTAGGGTTTAGGGGGTTCGGGGTTGGGGCTTTGAGATTTGAGACTTCTTTGAGGAGGTCGCGGGGGTACCTACAGGATCAAGGCGTTTGCTTCTCAACTAGGGTTTATACCCAACAAGTTTCGGAAAGGCTTGTGGAGGATCTATTAGGGATCTACGACATGGCTCTGGAAGCCTATTCGATTCCGTCGCTTCCGTGGAACTTCCGAAGTCCATGGACTCTGCCACAGCCTCAAAGCTGCGACACACAACAATGTCGTGTGCACGTGCAGCTGATAGACGTGCTCCTTCACCTTTTCTGCAACAGCAGCCTTCCCGGCATGCAGCACCGATGCCCATGGATCCAAAGCAGCGAATATTTGGCGACCAACGCCTCTGTGATGTTACCTGACATGCCAAGGCTTGCCGACGTAGCTTCATCCATGACACTCCGCAGGCTTCCTGTCGTTGTTGTTGTTGTTCCAAGCCCGAACTTCTTTCACAAAGTCTTTATGGCGGGTGATGGACACGAGGTGGTAGCCCTGCCGGCTGTCCGTCGCCCACAGCTTCACGAAGGTCTCGCCGATCGTGTTGCTTCTGAGGAGGCACAAGGGAGGCACACAAAACCAGTAGGAGCTACAATGCACCGTTTCACGATTGCAAACAAAAGACCCCTGCAGCGCACACGAAATACACAGAAGTTGCCACAAAGCTAGGCGCACCACTCCGGTACCCACCACAATTACTTCCTGTGGCCATGCCCTTGCACAGGCGTGGTATGTTCTACCTTTCCCCTAAACCCTAAACCCTAAACCCTAAACCCTAAACCCTAAACCTAAACCCAAATC